ATATATATATATATATATATATACGGACGCATTGTTCTGCTAATAGAAACTTCATATATTGTTTTTTTGCTGCTGCTGCATCTGCACCGTCTTCCATCATATTTATTCTATCACGCCACCTGCAGCAACAGCAGCAGCAGAAGCAGCAGCAGCAGCAGTAGCAGCAACAGCAGCAGTAGCAGCAACAGCAACATCAGTAGCAGCAGCAGCAGCAGCAGGAGTAGTCCTAGCTTAGTTTTTTCTCTTTATTCAATCGGCAAAATAAAAAATCTCTATTTAATATTTTAAGAATATGCATTTGAAGCAGAGCAGCAGCAGCACACACCTGAATAGCTGCTGCTGCAGCTCCTGCAGTGTCTCCACATCTTGCTGCTGCAGCAGCAACCTTTGGGCGTCTTCATACCTCCCTTTATAGACAGCTAAGCTGTACATACACCCCAACAAAGAAATAAAGCTTTATATATATATTTACATATATATATATATATATATATGTTCTATGATGATACGATAATATTAGTTAGCTTTATTCAGTAGATAAACTAAATAAATAAATTAATTACATTCTAATTAATTAATTAAATAAATTTAATTAATTAATTAATTAATTTCTCTGATTAATATACTTTTTTATTACTTAACTCAATTAAATAGACAAGCTATTTAAATTAGCTAAAAAAATAAAATAAACAAATATAGCTGCCGCTAAGATAATTAATTAATTGTTGCTATTAAAGAAGATAAGAAAAATAATAAAAATAATAATATAACTAAAAATAAATTAAAAACATACAAAGCAGCAAACGCAGCACTTCCTTTCTTGCGGTGTATATGCAGGAGATTGTTTAAAAAAGTAGCGCTTGCTGCATCTGCTGCAGCAGCAGCAGCACGAGCAGCAACAATCACTTGCTGCAGCACTGTCTCCTCGTCTCTACTGTCTCTTATATTAACAAACTGAGATAAAAAAGTAATAATTGTCTCCTCTTCAAGTGCTGCTTGCTGCAGCTGCCGCAGCAAACTGCAACGTAAGGGGCCCTCAGCAGCACCAAGCAGCAGCAGCAGCGCCTGCAGCAGCAACCATGCAGCAGCAAACAAGCAGCAGCAAACAACAGCAGCAGCATGTGGGGAGATGTACAGGCGAGTAGATCTGTGATTGCTGTATTTGTTGCTGCAATTAAATTAATTAAATTAATTAAATTAATTAAATTAATTAATTTAGGTAGATACCTTATTAAATTGTTTATTTAAAAGCAAAAATTTATAATGCAGATACAGCGCAGACAACATCTCTCGCTTTTCTCCTCCTGTCTCCGTCTTAACCACCACAGACACATCAAAAACTGCATTTGCTGCTATGCTGCTGCTGCTGCTGCTGCTGCTGCTGCTGCTGCTGCTGCTTGTAGTAGCTGCTGCAGTTTCAAAGCGGAGGAGGCTGCCCTTTGTTTGCAGCACTTCTATTTCGTTGGGGAGCGAAAGATCATACCTACAGCAGCAGCAGCAGCAGCAGCAGCAGCAGCAAAACAGCAACAGCAGCAGCAGCAATCAAAACTAAAAAGAAAAACAGACAGTGGTGCAGTAGCAGCAGAGCAGCAACGACATCTATA